TCAAATATTTTATCTCAAGTTGTTAAAAATTCTGTCACAAGCAGGTGCCAATTTAGTCATAAGACAAAGAAAAAATTATCCATCGCGTTTACACAAAAAAATGCAGTGTTACAACCTTTTAAGCAACCAGAAATAGAAATGTTCTAGTTGTCCAGATTCTGAAACATTACATGTAACACAACTGCAAATACAGTGTGGTTATTTTGTGCAAGCTTCACATAATGTAAGAAAGAAAGGGCATCCCATTTTTTTAAAAGTAATTCAAGTATGCCTGTGGATCAAGGTTTTGCTTAGTTTTTTGATGGTGTGAAGCAAGGTTTCTCATGAGTGTTTCGATAGATGCTGAAGAATCAAACAGTGAGTAACAGCTGCTGACAACTCTCAGATTTCCCCTTGACATCAGGTTGACAATGCCCTTTGTGCATTTTCATTTTATTATTGTAAACTCAACTTATTTTGACAGTGTGTAATAATCAAATACTTGAATATTGCAGATTTTGCTTGTCCATGATTGAAACAATCCTAACTTTATTGAATGACAAAACAGCTCTATGATGAAAAACTTGGACAACCAAATACAACAGAGCATACACATTAAATGTCCTTTAAAATGATTACAATATTGTGATATTACGCATATAGAAAGTCATGAACAAGCTACAACCAAATATTGGTATTATTGCCACTACAAACATTTCCATGTTTACACATTTGACAAATCTTAGTTTTTAAATTCTTCCTTGAAAAAAACGATAATGCGAATGCCAATATATAAGATGACAGAAGTTAATTGACACAGGAATCAAACAAAGTAGTCTGGAATTGTTTTGGCTTTTGTTGAACAAAGGATGTTGCCGTCTGTGTTTTCATTCAGGTACACCCGACACCAAGTGCTATTTGGACATGTTACCTGATCTCTCACAAGTTAATTACTTTACTATTTACCTCCATTTGTCATGAATTATGTTCACCTGTGTAATACGAAAGAAAAGGATAAAGAGATTGGAGGAAATCGTTTCAATAGTTGCTCAAATTACCTTACTTACACAGTTATTTGAATTCTTCAGTGGACAACTCAAGACGTAATTGCTTAATGTTGACTCTGGACATTCCAAGGGGGTCAGACACAGAAGGCCATGTGCAGAGATACAGGGCTTACAACAGGGGGTAAGGACGAAGGAGGTGGGTACAAGGGGAGTGTATGAAGAAGTGATGGAGAGAATGGAAGAAGAAATTAGAACCAGTAAAAAGTCTTATACTTTATTAAAAGTGTGTCCATTGATGTGTTAATGAGTTTGGGTGCAGGTCAAGCATTGTCCTAAGCATCAGATAAGTCAATCATGGAGTACAATGTGACAGTAACACAACCAGGTCAAATTGAGGGCATTGTGTCCTGATGTCACCTTTATACAAGCAGGAATTCAAACTGACTCCACCCACAATACCTAAAGGAACTGAAAGTGTGATTACACTGAAAGGAGAATAGATACTGAAAACACATATAATGAGTCAGGGTTGGTGAATAGGATGGCACAATTGTGACTGTGGAGTACAGTACTCCAAAGAACAGAATATAAAACAGGTCACTTTGGTGAAACCATGAGGGTGTGTGTAAAGTGGTGAATAAGATTCATTTTCAGGGACTGAAACCACAACCATATCCTTTCATGGCTAAGGGATGTAAATCTGCACAGAATATTGGCATCTTGAGATCATTTGGCTGTCCTTGCCCCAAAGATATCCCTGGTTGCATATGTAATATAGGATAGCATGTTTTATGAATATGATCATGAAACCATGCATATTGGTATACATGGTATACAACATCAATGCTTGAATAGAGAAGGAGTCTTATATTCTTCCTACAAGGGTTGATTGATAAGTTCTGACCGCCACATAGAAAGATTTGACCAACAGACATTAATAAAAAAAAAACATTTCAACATAATCCCCTTCGACAATGATACACTTTTGTTGGATGGATTTTATCCCAGTTTCAGATAGGTACTGCTCTTGGCTGTCCAAAAAAGTCGCTTCAGCTGCTATGATGTCATCATTCAAGTCAAAAGCTAAAGCTTCCTTCATGCTTTGGAACAGATGGAATGATCAGAAGAATAAGGAGGGTGCTGAAGTTCAAAGCCACATTCCTGGAATGTATCCATGGCAATGACTGATTTGTGTGCTGGTGCATTGTCCTGAAGGAAGTGCACACTTTTTCTCAGCTTTCCACGTCTCTTAGTCTTAATTTCGTCCTTACGTCAGGCCCATACTGACTCAACATCACTGCCAACAAGTCTGCAGTGGGCCCAACAGTTGGTGATGTCAACAGTGGCAACAAGTTGTCTTCTCAGACAAATCAAGGTTCCACCTTTTTCATGCGGATGGCCGCATTAGAGTGTGTAATGAGTGTTACGCTTACTGCTGTGTCTTACAGGCCAACCGATGGGGTGAAGGAAGCATCATGGTATGGGGAGGCTTCAGTTATCATCACAGGACCCCTCTACATGTGTTCCACGAGCAATGCTCGTCCCCTTATAAACCTGTCAACATATTACCCTATATTGCATTAGGTTCTCTTCCAAACCTGGGTTTAGAAATAGATCACTTCAAAACCTGCTTTGAGGTTTTTAATTTCAATTGTAATACCTAGGTTTTAAAAAAAAAATCGGTTTATAATCTTGCCTCTTGATGTGAACAGAATTCTGTTTGATGATTAGTTAAAAGTCACAAAATTCCAGGACATGAATCAAACCTACAACCTCACATATTGCGTTAATTTTTGTTACCCACTGTTTTCCCCCAGAGCTACCAAGGCAGGCGATGAGCAGTTGTTAAATTTATGTTGTCGTGACTCCAGCTAGACCATGCTGCACATGTATTTTCTTTTGCACGCTTTGAGCGAATTCCTTTTATGCCATGATACACTGTATTGTTTCACTATGAGGTATTTTCTTATTATTTAGACGGTTCATAAGTTGGATAAAACACGCCTCCTTGGTTTGGGTTGAAAAAACATTGAGCTCTGGGAAAAGCCCTTGGGCCTTTGGACATTGAGATTAGGAGACGCCTTCACATACACTTCAGGAACTGGAAGTCATTTTGGTTCAGGAATGGAATGGGATTCCTCAAACCTTCTTTCAAAGACTTGTCGACTCAATGAGACGGTGATGTTCGGGGGCCTGTATCACATGTAAGGGAGGCACCACATGCTATTGATGGACACGACGGACACTTGTCATTTTTCTGTTTGGGGAGTACTCTGTTTTTGGAGGAATCAAATGTTTTCTCTGTTATCATTTCTTAATATTATCTACATATCTTTTATAGTCTGACTGTTATCCAAATTTTATGTACAACTTGGGTTTCTTTTGCAGTTGAGTATATGACACAACCAAACTAATTACAATGATGGGCCTTAACAGGAAGAAATATTCACTGGACTCAGGTATGAATTGTGCAACATCATGTCAATTGACTATGACACTCCTGCACTGCAGCACACTGAACTACACCACACACTTATTGTTCCGTGAGGTTAAAGCCTTGCCCAAGCTCACTTGTTTACATTTGACAATTCTCAATTATCACATCTGTGTTATACCATGGCTGGAAGCCTCTAACCAGGTGTGCAGGAGAGGAGTGGACATCAGCATTATATAACCATTAGTCACAAATGCAGGAAATTCAGACTGGTTTATTCCAGTATTTGCCAAGTAATGATAGCAGATAGACAAACTATCAACAACAAAAATAAGCCAAGGCATACATAGTCCTCTGTGTGACTCCTATCAAGCACAGAATAAACTACATTGATGATTTTAACACAAAAAGTCTAGTATAAAAAAACACAAAAAAGTGAAAATATGGTTCCTAAGCATATATTCTTGCAAAAAACAGTACTATAAAGGAACTATTACCAAAATTTTTGTTTGTCTAAAATAATAATCCTGGTCTGCTAGCTTCTAGTATCTCAATAGTTTGTCCTTTTTTCTAATGTTTTAAAAATATCATTCCATCCTAGGAGACTGTCAGAATTATGATTTTAAACCCAATGACAGAAGTCAACAATTGTGTTGAACGTTTGCTCCATTGATCCCTGCTAAGACTGTTGAACTAAAAAAAAATGCAAATAGGTCAGGAAGTTAACTTAATTTGTCAAAGCCTTTATCAACAACAATGGGGGGGGGGGGCAATATTGATTCTGGTTTTTGTCACCTCTCGTAGGTTTTTCTTCCCAAATTTTCAATTGATGAATATAGCTAAAATTTCCATTTGTCTAATGTTCAGGTGAAATTATATAATCCATTCTATAGAACCAGGCAACAAGAGAAATTCTCCAAACCTACACTGATACACTGTAGTGATAAGAACTTACATGGTTGTTTCTTAATAGAATACCCAACAATCATGAACAATGTACACTGCCAAAGCTTAGCAGGCCAAAGATGGAGTAGTCAAATATTGCTGACTTGGTCAAATGGAACAGATTTGTTCAGTTTTATTCTGCCATCAGCTATGTACAGCTGGAAAGATGATCACCTGATCATGCTCATCAAATATGTATATCAGAAATGTCATATTTCAATTTACCAGAGATATTACATAAGTATTCATACCTTTTTTTAGTAGTCCTACACTTTTAGTGCAAGTAATGTCTTATACATTCAATATTCAAAATGTTTTACCGTGATAATTTTTTTGGGTCAAGTTTGCATTTTCTGCCTCTTATTTAGACATGAATCTTAAAAATGATTATGAACATTATATATACCATTCATATTCCTTTACAAAAATATAAATATTCTATACAGAAAGACTTTTAGGTAATGCCTAATAACTTAATAAGGCAGACCATTTGTGAACGAGAAGCTTCAAGTTGATAAATGGCACTTCATAACATTGTCTGAAAATTTAGCATGCAATACATCTTAGTATATATACTATATAGAAGTATATACATGTGAGTATGCAATTTTTAGTAATGACAAAACATGCCATACCTCAAGGAATCCAATGGGTCCCTGCAGTGGGTACTCCTGAAGTAGTCTCTCCTCATCCAGAAACTTCCCTGCACGGCCATTGGTGGGGGGCAGGTACAGCCCATAGTTGATGGAGTCTCGCAGATCCTGTATGCAGTCACCATGATAAATCAAAAGGTACATCACCATCTAACAATCCCCTCACAACCCTGGATGTAATTGTCTCAACTTCACAAACCCCACTACAGTTCTCTCAGCTTAAACTATTCCCACTACAGTATATTTTCTCAGCATAACAGTTCTCAGTTAAAATGATCTGAACCTCACATCCACTACTTCAGTACTGTTGTCTCAGCCTAAACTGTCCCCACTACAATTGTCTTAGCCTAATAGTAATATGCAACCACTAATTCTTTCTCAGACTCCTAACAGCCCCACTACCGCTGTCTCAGCCTCTGCCCCCACAACAGTTGTCTTAGCCTCTGCCCTCAACTCAGTTGTCTCAGCCTCTGCCCTCACAACAGTTGTCTTAGTCTCTGTCCCCAATTAAGTTGTCTCAGCTTCTGACCCAACAACAGTTGTCTTAGCCTCTGCCCCCACAACAGTTGTCTCAGCCTCTGTCTTTAGAAGACATTCTGAAAATATCCCTCATACTGATATAACAGCTGTTCTTCACACATTGTACCAATGTCAGGAATCAGTTCCAGGTCTTCCTCGTGACGAGCTAACATATTAACCACTAGGCTACCCGACCTCCCCCTCAGTACTTGACCTGGATCTTGGCCTTATAGGTCCTTAGGAAGAGATGTGGTAGAATCAAGTGGTAGAAACAATGTGACTGACTGAATTATATCCTTCTTGACTTGAATAATTTGTCTGGTCATGATTTGATTACCTACATTCAACCATGAGACGCCATACAGCTGTCTACAGCATAAAACAACATTCACTCCTTTTGTCTCATTATATGACCTTCACACTAACACACCTGACCTACTTGACCTTATTATCATCAGTCATTCAGGATGTTAATATAGATGCATGATATCACTTTTCATGTCCTCTCAATACAACTTATCTTATCAGTTACACAGACGTCAGCAGCCACCCTGATATGACTGTTTCTGGTGAAACCACAAGTTTCACCTCCTTTATCACAGTGGTATCTATACATATATCAATCTGCCTCCCTAGAAATACAGGCCTGCAGCCAATTAACTCTCTGCATGCATTATAATGGTTTCTATAACTCAATGGATAATCTGTGTAGTTGTTGAGATGATTATGTCAGAAACACATGATGCCAAATGATTTCATATTTTTGTCTCTGCTTGTACTAGTCCAGATTAATGCCAGTTTTATTGTGCTAACCCATTGAGATACCATTCCACAGTTTAACATGGATACCTAACTCAGTCACAGTATACTGAATCCGAGCTGACCAGTCCTTGTTTTAGCCCCTTAATGCTGAGCGCCAGGCAGGGTAACAACAAGGACCATTTTTAAGAGCTATTTGTATGATGCAGCCAGGGGATCAAACCACCGACCTTCTGCCCTCAGTACAGAACTGTCAAATAATTATGTGAATACCCACCTTGGAAAAGGCTGCTAGAATCCTCTGTTTGGCTTGATACACAGAATCATCCAGCTGGAACTGCAGGCATTTCTGTAAAAGCAAACATGGGTGTCAGTATTTTCTGTAAAAGCAAACATGGGTATCAGTACCGTCAATGACCTGTAAAGATCCGGGGTAGAAAAGGTCTTCAGCAACTCATGCTTGCCATAAAAGGCGACTATGTTTGTCGTAAGAGGCAATTAATGGGATCGGGTGGTCTGGGTGTTCCATACTGAGTGAGTGCATGTTTAGGTTTTATATTACAATCAGTCTTATTACAACTATTCCACAGTGGCTTTGAAAATTATAACCCTTCATAGGCTGTCATGTACAATCCTACATAAAAATATCCTGGTTAATTAGTCTGAAACTGATAATTCATAAACTAAAAGAGTCTGGAGATCTGCTTTGAAATTAGTTCACATAAGGAACTGTAATGGCTATTGGTAAACCTACCTGAATTTTGAGTTCCGGTATGGCTATCCTGATGTAGACAGTACCCGTCTGACTCTCTGGGGTGAAGGAGTTGTCCTCACAGTGGGAGTATGTGGAGTAGTTGGAGTATTCTCCCATTATGCCGTCACTGTCACTGCTGTCAATGTTGTCACAGTCACCGCCACGTGTCGCTTCCGACTGGTATCCTCACATTCTGACATCTTCAGCACACACGGTAACACAGGTATCCAGTCTTTATTACATGTTTACATCTGAAACAAATAAAACCAACAATAAACAAACAAATTAAACCAAAGTCCAACTTGTGGTATGTACTGACACTTCTGAATCCGTTGAGTCCCACTAATAATTTCAAGTCCCACTATTAATTTCAGTGTAGAATGTTGAATGCTCCTGGAAATGCAAGAAATAATTACTCAAAATAAAACAATGACTCACTTTTGTCATATCAATACATAAATACAATCTGGCAAATGTCCAACTCTATGATGTTGAAGGCAATATTGTACATAGAAATACTGATAAAGTGATATGTTTGGTGACATCTGTCTATGAAATGATATACACAAACATTTTTCACATGCAAATAGTTCTATCACAGTTATGCTCCAATATAGCAATACCCATGGAACATTATCATTTCATACAAAAATGTCTGTCATTAACAGCAGCATATCTGTCAATTACAGATAAGAGTCAACAGTACTCAGAATGAAGGGGGTCCTGGGGTCGTTGAAGTTTGTTCCTATAGTATATTTGAATCTAGGGAACCAACCAATTTCTTCAACTTAGGGTTATAACAAGGACCCTGAAACTTTAATGTTTAATTTTGGACAATGCTCAATGTATTTTGGTAACATGCCCCAGGCATGTATTAAGTGTTATTATACATCACTGCCAAAGCTTCTTCATTCAGACATCATATCTGACTCTGACATCCACAGTGACACAGACACAAACCATGACACAACTAGCCATGTCACAATTCCCAACAAGAAGCACACACCAACTCCACAAGACTTCATCAAATGCAGGTAGATGACAGATTCAACTGTACCTGAAGGTAACAGTGTACGTGGATGGCTAATTGGCTGCAGTAAGTTGTGCTAACAGTGACATAGAAGTGTTGTTGATCACAAGTGAGCAAGGCCACAGTAACAGTCACCGTAACCTGCTCTCTTCACTGGCAGATGCCATACAGCATACATGTACTCACAAAGGTCAGGCTGTCTCCTCTACTACTAGCTAGTCTGGATGAATTGATGCTAATCAATAAGTATAATAGGCATATCAAACTCACTTCTAAAATTTACTAAAATTAGTCAAATGATAAAAATGATTATGTAGAGTTCACAAAACTGAGCTTCATGTACCCATGGTATGAATTAGTCCAGTGTGGAGTGAAATGTAAACACACTACCTACTGAGCTACAGAAACAATCATGTACTTGGAAGAAAGGAGTATTTCCAATAATAACTTGTCTCTAGCATGCTATTATATTCACTCACCCGCCCACTCATTTTTCCATTGGTTCAAATTCACAATGTTAGCAATACAGTCATCATGAGTGACAGAATTTCTGCCAGATGTTAATTTGGTAACCTGTGACATCACTGGCCATGAAGGTGAATGAATAAATCATTTCAATATCTACTAAACACATATTATGCACTGAGACAAAACTATGAAAATCTGAACTTATTTCCAGGTGACTATTTTTCAAGAAAACAAAAACACAGGCTGAGTTTGGGACACTAGCCTCCTCCACTGAATCCTCACACCTGGATCATGATAAATGTGCCCCCACAAGACTAAGGTGCCAATATATGTGAACAATGATGAACAACATATACCATAATCAAATACCATAACCAACAAAATGAAATGCATTCATACTTGATAGAATAATACTTCAGAGTTTAGTGGTGAATTATGAAAACATACCTGATAATATTGTGTCAATTATACTATTGTTAGGCAATGTATTAGTTGTTTAAGATTTATGATGGTTTTAATTGATAATTTGTGATAATCTGATAACAGATAGTACTGGTGTAAGTGTAAAGTGAACCACTTATTGAAAGAATAGGAAAAAAAGCATTTGTCTTGCATTAGAACAATCTCCTTATAAGCACCTTAAAGATAAAGAATATCCCCATATACTAAAATCTCACCTTTGGTTAGACACACATGTAAATACTTATGCTTTTAACAGTATTATCACCAATCTTAAATTTACAATTATATCATTAGATCAAGTAAAAAAACAACATAGCAAAAACTAAATAATATCCAAAATAAACATTCAAAGTGTTACCTCTTCCATGTGTTCTGACAACCTTCTGAATAGAAAGCATGACACATGGCCAGGGTGACCATTACCTAATTCTCAACTCTTCACACAAAGTGAATGAGTGATGTATGTATGATTGTCCCCTGTACATAACATGAACTAAGGCTGGGCAGTTTTCTGACACTGATGTGTGTGACCAGTGATCTGGAGGTACACACAAGCAACAGCCTGTTTGAACACACCACATACCTCCTACGTTATACCTACATCACAGGGCTGAGGCTGCTGATGGAGGTCTGGACTGCGTGGTAAGAAGGCTTATGTCACAGGTATGCATGAACACAGGAGTGGTCAGCATACATGTCTCATTGTAACTGTATGACTAATATGTCATCTCAAAGGGGATATGGATGCTACCACATTCAATTTCCCCCTACTATATTTGCAAAATTTCAAATTTCCTTGTCTTTTAGTGACATTTTAGAAGCTGTAGTAGTACTGTACTAATGAAGAAAGGGCTGACTTATGGATTTAACTTCCTTTGCAGTTTCAATGTGTAGGGTTCTGTACAGATGCTATTACCTTTAACAAGCAAGAGATGAACCATGTTCTCCCTAGTTGTTGATCACTTGCCTAAAGTACTAGCATCTGTACCAAGACATCACACTAAAACAAAATGTCACTTCAGGATAACATTTCACATCTGGAAATAAAAAAGGGGAAATTTTGTCAACTCTTAATTTCAGTGAAATGTTCATCACCTGAAAATGTATATTTGTTACCAAAGATTGAATGGAAAAGCAATTAAACATGGTTGGTAAGCCTGTAACCTGAGATAAACTAAGGTGTTCTTATTAACACAAACTAAAAATCTAAAACTTCCAGTGTATGGTAAACATTGTACAGGAAGCAAACTTGTTAAAGGACTACCAAAAGAGGCCTCCCTCTACCATATTGCTTCAGTACCTTTGCCAACTGCTAATTGTAAACATGTCAACATCATAAGACCATGTCAAAACACGTAATCTGTTTATCTGGGTTCATTACGGGAAAGAGAAAACTTGGCTGTTCAGCTTGTGTTGTTTTCCTTCATCTTTCTTGTAACAGCTCACTTGCTTTGAATGTTCATGATGTATGAGGACCATGTACCAGTGTCAATGTTGTCGGTGCAGACCAACATCATGTTGCCTGATTCCTACCTCTTACTCAGGGATAATCCTCACTAAATGTGAGCTCAAATGGGTTTTAACGACATGTTCAAGATTATTTCACTGGCATAGCAACATATACGTATGTGTGTGTCTGTGTGCTTGTGCATGTGCATGTGCATGTGTGTGTATGTATGTGGTGCATGCATGCTCATACGCATCTGTCTGTGTGGCTGCTTGTACTCGTCCACTCTTATGCAAGTTTTATAGTGTTGGCCAACTGAGATGCTGCACTTTATCAAAGATATCCCACTCAGACATATCATATTGACTCCAAGCCAGCTAAACCTTGTTTTATCTCCTTAATGCCAAGCACCAGACAGTGTAACAAAAAGTACCATCTTTTAACATGTTTGGTATTACACGGCCAGGGGATCAAACCACCGACCTTACGCTCTCTTGGCAGATGCTGTATCTACACCAAAGGAGGTGGTCTTAATCCTCACTTAAACAGGATGTTCTAATGAGTGAGTGAGCGAGTGAGTTGGGTTTAACACTGTTGTGAACAGCATTCCAGTTATTTCACACCGGGTCAGCTTAATATTGGAAGAAAAACTAAAGGTATGCAGGTCTCAGACATTTAGCGCTTTGGTGAAACCCATGAGCACAGGTATGGTGTTGACAAACCTAGAGACTTAATTGTGGCGAACCGGGATTCAAACCCTCATCCCAGCATTAGAAATTGGCACTAGTCCTGTAGTCCTTGCAAAAGTGCCCAATAGTTAAGGTATCATAAGGACGAGTAGAAATTTGCCATTTATAAGGGTTTTGCTATATGTTATCATTATAAGGACTAGTGGACTAAAAATATTTCTACCCCTGTCATCTATAGGTTTCTGGCCTGCTTAAGGGATGCAACTCTGCAAGGCGACTTGCAGCACCTTAGACGACTGGGCCACCCATGCCCCCGATGTCCTAATAAAGGACTTTCACATAAAGCATTAAGGAATCTTATTCCTTACAAAATACAAAAGACACTAGCTCAAATATTGGACCACACAGAGGAGAAAATACTATTTCACCTCAAACTATTATTACATTTCAGATTCAAGCTATACAACTGTCAAAGATCAGGGCAATGAATCAGATCATGGTGAAACTCATGTTGTTACAGCTGATGTCTATATAACTGCTGTTGGCCTGTAGCCATCATACTAGTCACTTGTGTGGAAATATTCCACAAAGGCATAATTGGCTAGATAGAAAATTTATATTTTTCTAACCCATATAGTTAATTCCAGTTGAGCACAGATGACTCGGATAAAAAATTATTCTTGTGTTGTACATAACCATTATCATGATCTTAATATTGCAACGTTCAAAAATAACATATTGGCATGAGTTTAATGTCAATCATTTCCAAAACTTCATAAATATTGCACCAATAATGTGTGCTACATACTAAGCGAACAAAACCTGAATTTTCATAAAGACTCCTCTTGACTATTTAAAGTCAATTGTTCTTATTCAAACTTGTATGTATAACTGTTGCAAGTATTAAAGTCTACATGATTATTCCATGAGTTAAAGGAACTACCAAAATCATAGCAGCCAACAAAATCATTAAACCACTTGAAGCAAAAGACAGAAAAGGACATAGAATCATACATGGTTTAAACACAACTGACAAACTGGGATTCTACATCAGAAAGAGGCAGTTCCCCAACTTGAAGAAATCATTGGTCCACTTGACACATGCAGCAATGGATGACTTAACAAAACAATAACATTACTTACACTCACAAGACC